AAAGAGCACAGAATCTCAGTAGTTGAAAGGGGAACTTGAGCGTTGAAGGGAGTTCTGAGAAATTCTCTGAAACAAATGAGGACAAAGAGAACAGGCTGAAAAGGTATTTTTTTTAAATGGCTGAACACATCCCCCCAAAACAAATTTATAACTTCAAGAAGCTAAGCAAATTTCAAACAGGATAAGCCCAGAGATTTATATCAAGACACATGGTATTTATGATTGTGAAGGGGGAAAAAAAATCAGCCCCAAAATGACACTTGACTACAGGACAATCCAAGTAAGAAATTCAACAACAAAAAAATAATCCAATTAGAAAACGCGTAAAACAGGGCCTTCCTGGTGGCGCAAGGGATTAAATCTCAGTACTGTGAAGCTATCAGTAGCCACTGCAGCACGAGCTCGATCCCTGCCAGGGAGCTGACCCACACAGCACAGCAGACCTCTCCTGTCTCACCTGCTGCTCCCCTCAGCAGTGTATTTCAGCAGGTCCGTTATTCTGTTCCCCACTGAGTCTCTGGTGAATCTTCTCACCCCTCCCTACCCCCAGCACCTCTGGCCTACACTCCAGCTCTTGTATGCATAAATAAAATAAATCTTAAAAAAAAAAAAAAAAGTGCCTCCCAGTGGTGCAGTGGGTTGAGCACAGTGCTGTGAAGCTGTCCATAGCCTCTACCGCACTGGTTCGATTCCCGGCCAGCAAGGGAGATTCCCACATGGTGCAGCAGATCTCTCCTGTCTCACCCGCTGCTCCCCTCAGCATTGTATTTCAGTCAGTCTGCCTGTTCTGTTCTCCGCTCTGTCTCTGGTGAATCCTCTCACCCTCTGTACCTCTGGCCTGTACCCCAGCTTTTCTATAAAATAAATAAATCTTTAAAAAAAAGATTTAAAAAAAAAAAGATATGGGTAAAATGCATGCAGAAACATTTCAGTGAAGATGTACAGATGGCAAATTAGTACATGAAAAGACAGTCAACATAGCCAATCGTTCAATTAAGACCACAATGAGCTTCCACTACCTATTTATGAAAACAGGTAAAATAAAGAACTGCACCAATACCCAAGACTAGTGAGGTCACAGAGACTCCACACCTGCCACCCACTGTCGTGGGAATGTAAAATGGTGTAATCTTCTGGAAACAGTTCAGTGGTTACTTACGATGACCCAGAAATTATCCCAGATATTTATCCTAGAGAAATAAAAACTTATATCCACACAAAAACCTGAACACAAATGTTCTTAGAAGTTTTCTGAGAGCAGACAGAAACTACAACCAATAATAGTTTCTGTCCATTTAATGAACGATTACTTAGCCATAAAATTACTTAGCTCTACTGCCCACCCATAACTACCAGGTGCCTCTGTTTCTCCTTTTCCTAATCAACCTGGCCTTTTAAAATATGAAAAAAAAAAAATGAACTATTGATACAGACAACTTGGATGGACCTTCAGGGCATTAGTCTGAGTAGAAAAACAGCCAATCTCAAGAGGTTACATACTGTATGGTTTTATTTATATAACATCTGGAAATGACAAAACTGTAGAGGTGGAAACAGGTTAGTCACTGCCTGGGGTGAAGGACAGCTGTGGGAG